CGTTGATACCGATAAGAAAAATCCTCTGTCAGCCGATGATATTTTCAACAAGAGCTTGGGATATCGAGCCTAGTCACGCTTGAGAGGAGGCTAGGTACAGCAGATAGCTTTCGAGTGCGATAATAAATCATCCCATCAGCATCTTCATCAATGCTGTGTTGATACTATCGAATATAATTGAATAAGGGCTCATCGAGTTAATGAGAAGCATTGATGCAGCAATGGATGCACATGCATCTGCAGGAGACGCTGCAGTACTTGCTCATTACGCACGCTCTCTTGTGCTTGAGTATGCATCAACCATGGGGATTATCCAAGAAACCTGTTATTTCACTAATGCGGGGATTAGGGAGTGGGAGATGAGGGTGATAACGAGTGTTACACCAATTATGAAGGGGGATGAGAGATGCGGAGAATGAGTTCGTGATAAACTCGAGTTTTAGAGATTTGCGTTGTACGGAATTCAACGGTTATCCACTTGAGAGAGCTGCATGTTTCTTGAGTTTTTATTTTAGTACTCGCAGTCATTCTGCAGACGTGGTTATGACGGAAATTTGCCAAAATGCCTGAATGAGTTACGCGAAATCGAGGAAACTCATAGCTCCGCTCTATGAGTGATTTCGAGAAGACTGCGCTCACGAGAAAACAAGAAAATGTGAGAAAACTTGAAGATTTTTTCGTGCTCCATTCATCATATCACTGTTTCTATAATCAATGCTGATGATTAATCCTCGAAGTTCTCGAAGGAGTCGTTGGAGAATAACTGAACTCACGATTTCGCTCTATGAGTAATTTTTATAAGTTTTCTTGGGAGTCAGTTCGGAGATGGATGAAGAAATCAATACTCAGAATTCATCTCTATGAGCAACGCTTCATTTCCACTCACAAAAATAATTTTTCTAATTCTTTAAACTCTATGAGTAATGCACCGACGTTTGTGTTAATAAAGAACATAAATGTCGGAAAGAAACTCAGAGATTTTCGTTACCTCCATCATCCGACATCTTTCCATGAATCTTCTGCGAGTTACGTTGATAAAAAATTATAAAATAGTTTCACAAGCCCCTTTAACTGAGCTATCCGCCCCAACTTTATGAGCACTTCCGTCACGCTTTCGCTCATAAAAAAATATCACCATTTTTGATGCATTTTGAGGGTGAAAAGAACCCCCTCGAGTAGCACTTACAGACTCAGTATAAAAAGTCTCGAGATGAGTAAAAATCTAGGGATAGTCTCATTGTTTCGCTCTATGAGTAATTTTTATGAGTTTTCTCGGAAGTCAGTCCGGAGATGGATGAAGAAACCAATTATCGGAATTCATCTCTATGAGCAACTGATTCATTTGCACTCGCAAAAATAATTTTTCTAATTCTTTAACTCTATGAGTAATGCACCGACGTCTGTATTCATAAAGAACATAAATGTTGGCAAAAAACTTAGAGATTTTTGTTACTTCCATCATCCGGCATCTCTCCATAAATCTTATAACAGTTACGTTGATAAAAAATTATAAAATAGTTCAACAAAAGCCCTCTTCAACTGAACTAATAGCCCTAACTTTATGAGCAATTCCGTCACGCTTTCGCTCATAAAAAAAAACATGGCCATTTTTTGATCCGTTTTGATGGTAAAAAGAACCCCCTCGAGTAGCACTCACCGACTCAGTATAAAAAGTATCGAGGGGAGTAAAAATCCAGGGACAGTAATAAAGTAGAGGGATGCTCGAAACGAGGTAGGTTACCAAGGGGAGTGGTGGACCAAGTTGTGGATGGTCTCGACCCATGCATCAGGATGTGTGTCACGTGTGTGGAGCCATAACTCCTTGTGCCGGTGTAACTGGGTCACGTTTCTCCAGTGAACATACATATACAAGGGGTTGTACCATGGACAAAAGCCCACGACTCTTCGAGTACGTGGGGGCTTGTTCGAATGTAGAGGGGAAGTGAGGGATTGTTAAACATACCTAATCGCTCGGACGTTCTCGCATCGTTGGACACCTGACTATTATCTTCCGTACCATCGCCATATCCCATCAAGCATGACTGACATTCCTGGAGAATGGATGCACCTGGAATTATAACGAAAAGCAGTGAGAGAAAGTTTGAGGGCAGTAGAGTCGAAATGAAGATAACTTTTGATAATAAAAATTCAAAGGACTTTTGAGGGGATAATTTCAAAGGTTGAAAAAGTGTTTTTAGACATTTCAGATGGCAACCCATGTCCATAATATTAATCTTTATGACGTGAAATCGTGGAATTTTGGACTCAAACAAATTCTGACGGGACATTAATTTTTTGTAGCCCTTGAAATTCTCAAGGGGACTCACAATTCAACTCTGAGTAATTTAGTTGGGTTCTCATTCATAGAGATAATTTCTCATTCCTATTGGAGTTATTCGAATGAAATAAGATTCATCCATCATGCTGACACGTCCCTGAGAATCCAGCGGACTCACAATTCAACTCTATGAGTAATTCCTTTCTACTTATAGAGAAATTAATGAATGTTAGAAAAAACTCTGTGATTTCTGCTTCTTCCATAATTCCCGCATTTTTCTCCATCAATCTTCCAACATTTATAATGATAAAAAATTCTAAAATTGCTCGATAAGTCCACTTTAACTCTATGAGCATTTTGATACTCAAAATCACTCAGAATAGATTTTCCTCAATACTGAGTGATTTTAGAGAAAAATGTCAAAAGTACTTTTATGTACCCCTTGAAATTCTCCACAAAAAGTGTCTTTTGACATTCCTCGTATCATTTCCTCCTATCCCAAAGCGTCTAAAACAAAATCAAGAATCAAAGATTGAAAATTCATGAACAGAAAAATTCAATAACGAACAGTTCAAACGTATCGACTGACTCCAAGAATGTAATTACATGGGGATAAACTAGTGCTCTGATGAGCCTCAGGGACAAGCTCGAAACATTTCCCCCGGTGAAGCCGTATAGATAGATCCCTTCTGCTTCAATAGTTCTAGAGATGTTCAAGCCCAACAATCGTAATTTCCTTCAGCCACCGAACTCGATGGGACAATGCAACTGTCTGAGGGGTATAAATCAAGTTAAGATCGCACAGAACGAGGCAATATCCAATAGTAACCCTCGAAACTGCATCTGCGGCCCGATGCTCAATGGATGGTAACTCTCCAAAGGGGAAAAAATCTGCTGATTTCGAGCTGTTTGGTCCCCTTTTCCCTCTCGTTTCACTGTCAACTCTCGGCTGAGTTGTACCACCGGATTAATGAGTCCACAACGATCGCAGGAACAATGAGACGTCATAAATTCCAGATTTAATGGCCGCCCTTGGTGAACTTATTCACCATCTGCATGTATCTCATCTGCATTTCACAGAGGCAGTCTTCTGAAATTCTAGATACAGTTGGAGTTCGATTTTACAAGTACGGGACTCATTATGCGATCATTATGCAGTGGCAAACTCGATATTCGTGTCTAGAGCAAGTGATGAATTCCAACTGGAGAATGGGAGGTGAAGTCTAGGGTTCTTTTTTCACCAGAATGTTTCTGGCAAATGCAGCTGACTTTCAACTCGAGAATTGTTGGTAGTTTACCATCTGGAGTTGAAGTGGGGATTATCAACTTGTTTGGGGAAACTTTTAGGAGTTGAATTAATGATACAGCTCTGATTATTTGGGGAGCGGTGAGTTTAATCACTTTTGAAGGGAACGAGCTGAGTTTTGTTGTTAATTTAAAGTGTCTCTTGATGGTGGGAGGGATTGGTTGGAGGTGAATGCTGAGATGATGGTGAATCTCTCCTGTATTGATTCTGTGAATCCTATTGTGTGGATTTTTCGGTGGAATTTTGAATCGATTCCATTAACTAATGGCTTCAGAGGCTAACGAATGAACACTCCACATCTAGAATACTTGAAACAACTCGGATTAAATGGGTTTTGACGACAAAAATACCATTTTTGTAGTCAATGTGTCCACTGGGGATTCATACTAAAAGTTGTAGTGGAGCTTATCAGAAGTTGAAGTAATGATACAGCTGTGATTATTTGGGGAGCGGTGAGTTTAATCACTTTTGAAGGAAACCAGCTGAGTTTTATTGTTAATTAAAAGTGTATCTTGATGGTGGGAAAAGCTGTTTGGAGGCGAATGCTGAGAAGACGATGAATGTCTCGTGTATTGATTCTGCGAATCCTATTGTATGGATTTTTCGGTGGAATTTTGAATGGATTCCATTGATAGAGGGCTTCACAGCCTAACGAATGAACACTCCATCATGTAGAATACTTGAAACAGCTCGGATTGAACGAGTTCAAACGACAAAAAAAGATCATTTTTGCAGCCACTGTGTCCACAGGGAATTCACAGTCAACTTGAATCCGGTGTGAATTTGCTGGTCGGAAATATTCCACTCGATATTTTATTCCACTCGCAATGAACGCAACCTCCATGTGTAACCGTATTCTCGGTGTAGTATGAATGCACGAAAGGGAGGAAAATATCGACAGTGAAACGATGGGGAAAAAATGAATACAGGGGCTTTTTCATGTTGCAAGATAATCAACAATGCTTTGATTGATTTTCTATTCAACCAAATGTGCAATTCTCTCAATGTAAATATTATCAGAATATAAAATATCAAGAGACAACGATTAAAAGAAATAAAAAAATAAACAAATACAAAATCCATTGAATTAATTCCTCTTGTAATTATGAAAAATTAACTTCTCCGTAAATGTGAATTAGTTTCGCTCTTCTCTCTTTGTTTTCACACGCAAAAATATGCAATTAAGCCCCGCAAGCACTCTAATTACACGGTGTTCACGAATTGAGAAGAAAAAGCGATAAAACTAAAAATTAAAATTTGCTCAATTAAATCCCACGTTGTGGTTCGCAAAGAGCTGTCATGAAATAGAATCCGAACCAGTCTAACGACAGTTCTCCCATTATCCCTTAACCGGTACTCTGGTTTAATTTGTTTGAAACCTGTTGATGACTAAATTCCAGCCTCTGATTGTTCCAGATATTGCTGGTGGATATCTGTGCTTCGTCGTCAGCATACTGGGAATTGGAGTTGTGACGGCAGTTATCGGCGATGTTGCCTCGTATTTTGGATGCACACTGGGTATCAAGGATTCAGTTACTGCTGTTGTGTTTGTGGCATTGGGTACTAGTATTCCTGGTGAGTGTGAACATTATTTCCATAACGGAATGATAAAGCTGAATTAATTGACCCAGTGATTTATGCCCGGAGAAATTACGCGGTTGAATCAAGTATAACTTTTTATTTGAAATTTCTCTATTCACGTCAAGAATATTATTGAGAGGGTTTCTTTTGGGGGGGGGGGGCTGGAGCCCCCTGGAGTTGATGAGCGAAACGAGCAAAGGGGGAAGCGCTCTTGGGGTTGGCGAGCGAAGCGAGCAGGAGACGAAGCCCCAGGGTTGAATAGAAAAGCATGTAGAGGACGAAGTTGATGAGCGAAACGAGCAAGGGGCGAACCCCCTAGGATTGGCGAGCGAAGCGTGCAAGAGACGAAGCCCCTGAGGGTTGATTAGAAAAGCAAATAGTGGGTGAAGTTAATGAGCGCAGCGAGCAAGAGGCAAAGCCCCCTGGGAGTGACGAGCGAAGTAAACAGATTTGGTTAGCAAAGAAAGTAGGGGATGAAGTCCCCCAGGGGTTAGTGAGCCAAATGAGCAAGGGGCGAGCCCCTAGGGTTGAAGAGAAAAGCAAGCAGGGGGCGAAGTTAATGAGCGAAACGAGCCAGAGACAAAGACCCCTGGGGTTGACCCCCAAGATTGAATAAACAACACGCAGGGGCCGAAGTTAATGAATGAAACGAGCCAGAAGCAATGCCCTCTGGGGTTGTTGAGCAAAACGAGCAGGGGCGAAGCCCCCCAGGGTTGGTACGTGGAACAAAGATGCTTCTCTGGTTCCTTTTTATCCCCTGACGGTTCAGTGAAGAGTTCGATAAAGCCAAAGAATTTTATTGCTTTTGTTAATGCAAGTGAAACCATTCAGAAGCCCGATAATTACACTTGATAATTACACTTGGCAAAAAAAATCTTCAGTTACGCGCTTGCAGTCACTTACTTTTTTCTGCAGTTATTCACAAAAAACCGCTCTCAGCGTGAAATAATAGCAATTCATTATCGAATTATTGATTCCCCTCATTTTCTCCGCAATCAAGACCATTATGCAAATTTTATTCATAAGTTATTGTCGACGGAATTGAAAGAACGCTGAATAATTTGAATAAATTCGTTAATTCATCAAAATTTCCGATAATTTTTACGTTCAAATGACGAAGTAATTGAGCGCCCGATGAATCGTTGAATAATACCGGCAGTCCAATTACACGGATTATCATCAGAACGCACTAACGAGGCACCTTAATACCCTCGCCTTTTGACAGGGTTCGAGTGCGGTATGTCAATTTACCAGAAAGCTCTGGTGTGTGGTACCACGAGAGCCTATTTCCTCGATAATTAAATCCCCAAATTGTTTTCCTCATTTTTATTTTCAACATCCACTCCATGTCCTTCGAGTACAGATAGACCATATGGTTTGTGGTCACGTCGAACTATCGGATTTGTTATACTGATATTTCAGGACGGAAAACGAATTTTCGGGTACATGAGTTTGGACATTCACTCAATCTGTCTATCGGGCTTTAACTCACCGCTTTCAAGCCACAAAATACCGGTGAAAATAGCTGATAGTAGGGGACAACTGACAGTTTTGTTGCCACAAAGTTTAGAGGAAAATGTTGATCTGAAGAGTAAAATTGATTAGAGGAGGAAAAGTGAGTTCTCGTTAACGGAGGAAATAATTTGATGGAGTTGATTAACAATTATGGCAGGAATAAGTACGCGGGGAGAAGGTTGAAGAAAAATTATTTAGAAATCGTGGAGGGAATTGTTTAAATAAATGGAACCTTGAGTGGAATGTTTATCGAGTGATAGCTCCACTAAAATTTTGTCAGTGAAATTCATAATTCCATGGAAAAATCGGTGGATACTGGGCATTTCAGTTCAATTTTCCATGAGAAATGATAGGAATCAAGAAAATTTTAATGAGTAAATTCTTAAATTTAGAATTGATTGAAAATTTTTCGTAAGTTGATACTAAATATCTAGGTTTTGATTAAAAATTCAAGAGAATAGAGGAATTTTTGTTCTTCTGCTGGTTTGAAGTTCAGAATTCCATGGAGTTTTCAGTTAAATATGAAATTAATTAATTATCTGTTCGGTATTATTAAAATATTTTCATCCAAATAAATATATAAGTTACTAATCGATTATAATATAAATTCATTAACTGTATAAATTCTGTAAAAATTTGAATAGAAAAATTAAGAAACAATGAAACTGAATTTGAGTTGAATTATTCTCAGAAAAATAACAGAAATCAAGTTAAAATATTCTTAAATTTTTGAATTTTCAATCAATTTTTCGTATTCTTCTGCTACTCAAAAATTTGAAATTAATGAATTATTCATTTCATATGATTAAAACACTCTCGTAAATATAAAATCCACCAAAAATATTGTTGAAATGAATAGAAAAATGGCCGTGACTATTCGCACCATTGCGTGAATCACTCCCGTACACTCCATACACTCCACGCATGCGTGAAGTTTGTGTTTCACGCAGCCGAATTTTCATACTGCTGTCTGTTTCACGCAGTTGAAGTTTCATACTACTGTGTGTTTCACGCAGTTGAAGTTTTATACTACTGTGTGTTTCACGNTTTTATACACCTGTGTGTTTCACGCACTTGCATTTTGATACGCCTGTGTGTTTCACGCAGTTGAAGTTTTATACACCTGTGTGTTTATACACACAGGAGTGTGAAATACACAGGAGTATCTGAATACGACTGCGTGAAACACACAGGTGTATAAAAATACAACTGCGTGAAACACACACAGCCTCTCCATCCACAGTCAAATCGAAATAAAGGATGACAAGTCCCTCACCCCTAAGATTATTCCCCCCCAGATGTATTGAGTTATATAAGTCCCCCATGCTCCACTGATTCTTCAGCGGCGCCAGATCTCGTCGATTTAGCAGTTGTCCTGAATTTTCTACAAGGCAAAAGTAAATTCCGCAGCTGTCTCGTGGGACATACACCGCGTAGACAAGATCCACCCCGTCTTCCCCCCCCCCTCTCTCTTTCCCTCTAGAAGAAGTTCAAACGAGAGAGATGAAAAAAAAAATGAGGCAAATCCCCGCAGGCTGCAGACGAGCTTCCGGGCAGACTTGAAAAAATGTTCTCAGCCGCTGTCCCCAGGTCTTTGATAACACAACCCGCTTGCTCTAGTCCTCTGCATCTCATTGAGGATTATGGAGAGTTATGATAGAGATCAAATTACCTTCCTGATATTTAATCAGTCTCTTAAACCGAAGTCAAGTATTAATTAGGGATTCGAGTGAGTGGTGTTAACCTCTGTATTAATACTTAAAATACTTAAGGGTATTCAGGTATCTTTTAACCATTTTCAGTGATCAAATTAGTCAATTAAATTGCGTGAGAAAAATTTGAATAAAATCATAAATATTCAGCGTCATTCAAATGATATTTTAATGATATTCCAATTTTTCATAGAATTGGCTATTTTAAACATTCGTTATTTATAAATAAATAATTGAAATTATTTAAACTTTTGGAAACCGTTTTTTTAGGTATGAAATCGAGTTCTGTTAAAATTCTGAATATGAATAAATTTAAGATTTCGAATAAATGATTGTTATGCTGGAAAATTGAAAAAAATATTTATAAATTCTTATAAATAAATTGAAAAATTATAAATTATTTTTAAAAAATGCTCGTAATTTTCCAATTTCATTAATTTTCCCCCAAAAGTAAACTTTCTATTTTTTTTCAGATTTTTAGTTTTTTTTCAACGGTTCAATATTGACATTGAAAATAAGACCTATAAAGTTTAAATACTAAAATCATTGTAGAATGTCGGGAAACTTAGGCTCAAATGAGGCTAAAATGAAAGCTCAATCGAAAAAAAAAACGAAAAATGACGATTTTGAGTGCCTGACGACTTCATTACCGTCGGTTTTCATCACGAAACACTCGGTATTTTAAAATATCGAGGCTGAGGAAGTGCACTGTCCTTGAATATGATGAACCCAGTGTATATAATATGATCGCACAGTAATGAAGATCCAAAGCCGACAAGATGAGTCTGCCCGTGGGGTAGAGGCCTTAATTACACGGAATTAAGGTCACTCTCGAGACGCGATGAAAGTGACTAACGATGTTGTCTGCAGTTTGTAGAAAAATTATAGCTATGATTTTGTAGCAAATGGGGGGAGATCCACGCCATAAAAAAATTATACCGTTATACCGAGAGACGTTGGTTAGAGCCTTGTCCAACAATATTCCTTAATTATAAGAAAAGAAAGGAAAAATCACAGGTAAAGTTTCGTGAGAGGAAGCTAGCGAAAAGACCGATGTGAGGGGAGGGGGGGGGGGGCTAAACCCCCCTGGAGTCGTAGCCCCCCCTCATATTGGCTAGTGAAATGAGCGAGGGGCGAAGCCCCTCCCAGGGTTGACGACCAGAGCTAAAATTTGATAATTGGATAATTGAAAGGGCGAAACCCCCCTGTTATTGGAGAGCGAAACGAACAGGGGGCTAAGCCCCCCTAGGATTATTGAGGAAAATGAACAGGAGATTAAACCCCTCTCTAGGAAGAGTGAGCGAAGCGAACAGGGGCCAAGTCCCTATGGGAGTGTTGAATGAACCGAGAAGGGAGCGAAGCCCCCCCTGGAATTTTTGAGTGAATCGAGGGGGCCAAGCTCTCCTGGGATTTTTCAGGGATCTGAGCAGGGGGCCCCCTGATTTTTGATCGAATCGAGCGAGGGGGCTAAGCCCCCCTGGTATTGGCGAATGGACCGAGAGGGGGGCCAAGCCCTCTCCGAAATTTCTGAGTGAACCGAGCAGGGGGGCAAGCCTCCCTGAGTCTGTTGCGTGACATGAATAGGGGGCGAAACCCCCCCTGGGATTTTCTCTCAAAAACTGAATGAAGCACATGTGTATTGAAAGACTAAATTATCCACTCACTTCGTAAATATGCCTGATATTGACGCACTGATCTAACCCATTTGTCTGATGAAAATTTTAGACACGTTTGCCAGCAAAGTGGCGGCGTGCCAGGACAAGTACGCGGACGCTAGTGTCGGAAACGTGACTGGTAGCAACGCGGTAAACGTCTTCCTGGGAATTGGTATAGCGTGGAGTATTGCAGCCATGTATCACAGCTATCATGGGCGAGCCTTCGAGGTGGATCCTGGCAGGTAAGTCCTGAAAAACTAATTACGAGGAAGTACCCAGGCCTTGGCCCTTGGGAAATCCGTGGAGACTAGTAAAACTTTTTTAAAACTCCACTTTCATGTTAATTATCTCGAGAACGCGTCATTCCAGGGGAAAATGTCAATACAACTTTTTTGTAGGCGATAAAATTCTCTACAAAAAAGCTCACGTGACATTCTCTCCTAAAACTACCCATCATGAGATAATTTCCCATCTAATGAAACGTCATAAATCCATCAGAAATTTTTGATTCTCACCCAAAACCCGAATAGCTTTCATTCTTTCGTTTTAATTATAATGAAAGCCCTAGAAAAAAGCCCCCATAATATCTTTTACGAGACTTCATCCAGTCTATTGAACGACCCAACGTAAAAATAACAAATGTAAAGCTTGTAAGTTGCGTAATGCATCGAAGAAACTAATACACAACGATGCGGAGGTGAATAAAAAGAAATCTTGTTATCCCCCTAGCTTGGCCTTCTCAGTGACCCTCTTCTGCACGGAAGCCTGCGCAGTTATCATAGTACTAATGTTGAGGCGTTCCAAGAGCATTGGTGGTGAGCTTGGAGGACCATTTGCACCGAAACTCGTCACATCGATATTTCTCTTTTCACTGTGGGTCTTCTATCTCGTCATGTCGACACTCGAGGCCTACGACGTAATTAAAGGCTTCTAAGGTCATGTTTCATTGTCTATTCAGAAGAATAATGGCCTATGTTGGAGAGGGGGCACGTCTGTTTTTTTTAGTTGAGAGGTTGACGAGGTAAAATTCCGTTGTCGAGTGGTGAAATGAGACGATTTCACTTCAGGATCGGTTTTTTGTGAATATGGGGGAACCTGAGGGAGATACGACCATTTTAATAAGAACCTTTTTTGTGGAGCAGAAACAGAGCTACAAAAAGTGTTGGGGTGAACATGGGTCTATCTCCTTTAATTTTAAAGATATTCAGCTAAAACTCAAACTGAAATTGAGTGAATTTGTCTTTTTTCGCGATTTCTTTTATGAATTCATCTCCTACATTCAATTCTCAGCTGTTTCGTCCTCCTGAGTCATACGAGAGACGAAAAATAGCTATTGTGAACGATCTTGTGCTCTCGCTTCCACTCGGTGAATCATCCGCATTCATTAATTGGATAACATTTAATCCTACGGGATGGAATTCCATTGTCGAGTGATGAAATAAGATGATTTTACTTCAGGATCGGTTTTTTGTGAATATCTTGAAACCTGAGGAAGATACGACCATTTTAATAAGAACCTTTTTTGTGGAGCAGAACCAGAGCCACAAAAAGTGTTGGGATGAAAATGCGTCTATCTCCTTTAATTTTAAAGATATTCGCCAGAAACTTGAACTGAAATTAAGTGAATTTGTCTTTTTTTCATGATTTCATTGTGGAATTCATTTCCTTCATTCAATTCTCAGCTGTTTCGTACTCCTGGGTCACACGAGGGACGAAAAATAGCTGTTATAGATGATCCTTTACTCTCACTTCCACTCGGTGAATCATTCTCATTCATTAATTGAACCAAATTTAATTCTTTTCAACTGTGAAAAATGATTCGAAGGAGATTAATCGACGAGATAATTCATTGTTTCGTTGCATTCAATTATATTCAACGCAGGGATATTGTTCAGACCGGATAAATGAGTAGGTAAACCGTGTGGAGGCGAGTAAAGGAATTTGCCTTAACCCAGAGCCAAAGATGAAGAGTTATAAACGAGGAAAAAAAATTCAAATCAAAGAGCAAAAACATCTAGTCATGAGCCATTACCCCAGGGTAATGGCTACTAAAAATTGAGATTAATCGAGAGATTACGTTATACATCATATATATATTATACATAGTGTATTTATTTAATTTAAGATAGCGTTTATATGATATTCAAGTGTAGAGTATAAAAATGATGTTGATTTTTGGTTAAGAAACTCTAGTCTTCGAAATTAGAAAGTGAATTGGATCAATTCAATTGGTCTCAGGCAATTCGATTATTGGAATTGACTAAAATGTATGAATGAACCCGATTGGGGGGAGGATTCCTCGAATCAATGAAAATGTGCAAAATTTATTTGCAGAATTTTTTAGACATGGAGAATTTTTTTATGAGAGGTATGCGCGGCCTTCGCTCGAAAGTAAAAGCTTTCGTTGTTCTTCACTGCCTTTGATCGAGGGTCGCACGCATGACTGAACATTTTGAAGGAATTATCATTCTGTTGATGAATAGTTAATAATAAGTGGATAATCGATTGCGAGGTGAAGTGCGTGCTGAGGTAGAATTATCTGTTATAAATACTGTAAGTAATTAGATGAAGTGTGAGAGTCCAGATTTATTAATTAATTACTTAATTAATTGATTGCGAGTGAGAGTGAATACACGCGGGAAAATTTCGTATAAAAATCCGGCGAATTCGAGCGGAAATTCTATTGGATGTATGGGGAACTTCTGCGGAAGAATTTCACAACTTCACTGCGCGTTTTTTATAGAAAAAATTAGTGCCATTTCATCTTTCTATACATTTTCTATAGAAATTCCTCGACACGAATTTTCCAAGTTTTTCCGCTCCATTTCCAATCCATTTTTTTCATTTAAAAAAATCAAGAATTTTGTATAAAGAATTCCTGCAGAAGATATCCCAATAGAATAAATTCTATAGAAAAATCTAACTCTATAGATTTCCTCTATAAAACATTTTCCATTAAAAAACGCACAGAAAACTGCAGAATTTTTCAACGGAATTCTCCAAAAATTAATCGAAACTTCAACAAAATCCACTAAAATTTTCAACCCAATTCGCCAGTTGTCTCTACAGAATTTTTTCGTACGTGTTATCCCTTCATCTGTCTCTCGTACCGGATATTTTCCTAGTGAAAAGTGTACTCCCCGGGCCATTAAGGTCTCAATTCTCCACATGTCCCTAAAAAATCGGGCAAAAAAAAATGTAACAAAAAAATTCATTTTTTATTCAATCTACCATGAAAAATAGCCCTAGAACTAGCTTCTCTTCCTGATGAACGAAAATTTATTATTTTAGTATCGGTTGTATTAAATGAGACTCAACTAGCAAAGCGTCAAAGTGATACTCTAAAATCTTAAGCGTTCTGCCACAGATAACCGCAGTGATTTCCGTTTTGCTCGACGGTTACTGTTATTATCATCTTCAACATGATAAATAACGAATAACTTAGGTGTTGAAGAATGAAGCGTAGAGGACACGTAGAAATACCGATATCTCACTTGTAGCGAGATTGTATGGGTAGGGGTATTTTCATCGTATATGCAGTTGTCGAGACGGAAATTTACGGGTAAAGGACGATTCTACTCTAAAATCTTGTGCATTTGTCGTATATCCTATTTCCAATGGAGTCTTGTATCTCAATTCCCACTACTACCCGTCTATCCCTTCTTGCTGGCACTGAGAATGATGAAAACTGCGAGAATATCGAGAGAATAATTGTTCAAAATACATTCGACGAGTGAAAATTTCTGACAATTAATTAGTTTCAAAATTTTCTCATTTAAAAAATAAGAAAAATTAAAAAATTCCTAAATTGACGGCCCATTTTGCCCCGACACAACTAATGTTGGTGTTGGAGCAAGACGGGCCCTCAAACTATTCAGATAATTTCCCTCTGCGAGTGCATAAAATGAGGAAGAATCAAATGACGAAGAAATAGTACTGAAAAAAATATCGGAGCGGTGAATTTTTTGCTGATACGAGTGGTATTAATAAAATAATCGATCAAAGTATTATATTCTAACAATAGTCTAAACCGTAGAAAGAAGGTGAGAGGGTGGCAATGCTTTTAGCAAAGTGTGCGCCCGATCATTTTTAGAAAGTGGATTAAACTTATGGGAAATGGTGGAATAGAAATTGTAGGTGCCCGATGGATACCTGCCGGTAACTGAATACATATGTAATTGAACTCACATTCACACGGGCTATAGAATAACTGGAGTATAGTTTCATCGTCATCAACTGAAAATTCATAAGTTCACGTATGAAAAAATTCGATAGAAAAAAAAATCCAGTGCAAATTCAATTTTTTTCGCTAATTCTATTAAAAATTGCGCAAATTCAGCGTGTCGATGGAAAAAAGTAAAAGATTTTTATTTTTCTGCAAGAATTATTGAGCATTAATTTTTCTTTTTTTTCCGTTGTATTTTTATTTGTTTCTCATAATAAAAATCGACAAAAAAATTGGAAACTTCATGTCCATGAATTCTTATAGAAAAAACAGCAGAAAAAGCCATACATATAGAAAAATCAGCATCTATAGACTTTTTTCCATGAAAAAATTGTGTAGAAAAAAATTCTATTGGAGTTCTGTTAGAATTCTACGGAATAATTCTATTGGTTTTGTCATTTTGTGACAAATATTCGATTAAAAAAAGTCACTGTAATTGGATTGTTCTACATTTTCCCATTGAATTTTTCCATATCCGTTCAATTATAAATGAGTTATTCCATTCAGCTATCGATTTACAAGACATTTCATCATGACTTTATGACTAATTCTTCAGTCTGATACATTGAAACGTCAATTTTTCAATTTTCATGACAGGCCAGCCCCACATTAACCACTCATCAATGAATTCATTGTTGAAGTAAATCAAAATCATCAAGGAATTCCTGAAAAAAATCGTGAAAAAACGCCTTTGCTTCACTTTACCAACGAATTCATGCATTCAATCTCAGAAAAACTCTTCAGGTTCGTCAGCCAAAAATTCTCTCGTGCACCTATTCGCACGTTCTCTTATACTCTAAAATAAAAAAACCATTAACACAAAATAATCAAGGACCAAGAAAACGTGAAAGACGTTCAATCCCACTTGACTGGCTTCGAAACATATTTGAAAATTAAATCCAAAGCTGATGTGCATTATTTTCAAAGTGCATTATTACACCCAGAGAAATGATAAATTCTAATTAAACAAACTTCATTCCTATCAAATGAACAATTTTTAATAAAAACTTTCACTTCATTTTCATTTTTCATTTAAAAAACCTCAAATAAATGTTTTTTTACATAAAAAAATGTGTTATCAACCAAAATGGAAACTTTATTTGGACTAAATTAATTATTTACTGCACATGATAAAAGCTTTTTCACTGAAATAAAAATGACTTCATTTATTTAAAAAAAAAATTGAATTCAAGATTCTTATTCCTTTCAAATGCATCATTTCTCCGGTTGTACCCTTTCCGTTGTATACAAATTAGCGCGACTGAATGATCAAAGACTCAATTAGTTGGAAAAAAAAGAAAAATGAAAGAATGAAACCGACCAATTGTAGAAGATTTGGATCTGGACCAATTAAACCGATTAGTTCCTAGTGTTTGATTAACTCAAATGTGCGTGAATCGAAGACATTCACCGTTTACTTTCTCATAATTTATCATTCATAACCCAGTCCTTACTTAATTTCTGATGCTTCACGCACAAAACAGAAGCCATTGGCTTCATACTAACTGAACAAAGAAAAAATATTTCCCACTAAATGGAGGAAACATCACAGGGGCTGGCCGCCACTGTCCTTCTCTTTGTACATAATAAGATTTAAAATCAACAAAATGAAACTCTGACATTTCTATTCGCAAATGGAGTCTAGAAGAAAAAATCAATGCTATACACAACTACTTCTAATATAACTTACTATACAATCAATAAAGACA